AGAAAATTTTAGTGAATAAAGAGGCATTACTAATAAAGTACGGCACTTAATAACAATCCCTGACGCGCTTCTTTACCACAATATGTTACCATGAAAACGAGTGTAAAATTAAATTAATCCGAGTTGTAATCACAGAGAAATATTCATTTATACATTGGCTTCTATGTCAGAAATCGAAACGGAGAAATCATCGTTTTTCTATTTTTCACAATGAGTGACCGCCTGTGTGCAAAATGGGTGAACGTATGTGATATATCTATTGTTAGTACTTACTGCGACATATCCCTGACTAACTGACACCACTAAATTGGTAAAATGTTTCATGCACCTTGAGAAATTCTGAGAAATTACGAGGTTACTATTGCAGAATGCGCAAACTCTGCTCATTCTGTCGTCACAAAGCTAATATGTCAACAAATGCGCGCCTTGTTCCGCACTATAGTAAGGTGTGTTGCGAGGTGTTAAAACTATTTTGGGCGTGGGATACTTGTTGGATCACTAGCAGATGTACATGAATGTACATGAATACATGTAATGACAGCTGTAGCAGGGTTGACGCTGCATGATACTGGCTATAGTTAATATCGTGGTTGTATCATGTCTCTGACGTAATAATGACGTCAGCCGCTGCTTACTACACATTTACGCGGGTAAGCAAAAACGCTCTGACAGTTCACATGTACCATTATATGGAGAATTGAGCATGTACACAGGTGGCACATAGTGTTAGCCATCGAATAAAGTTGAAAACAGAAAATCGATGAAATTCGATGCACAACGTGGAGAGTATCCTTAGGAAGGAGATTAAGACGGATTTTGGCAAAGCTATAGACGCCGATAGCTATGTGAAGTTCAGGAGCCCACATCTCTGACGCGAGGATCTAAATATTACTTCATCATCAGGAGATGTTCAGCGGCTCACGCAAGACGAACATAATAAGAAAGCAGAGACGCCAGAAGTCTATGTTAATACTATACCCATGGATCCGAAAAGTGGACATTCCTTGGAATCAGTAACTATAGTGCAGGAGCCACGCGTGAGAGTGGTATCGCAAGGGCCTGAAAATAGAACTCTTGTTACTCGGGTTAAGAGTTATTTCAATGAGGTATGGCCTAGACACTAAGAGGTTCTTCCTTTTCCTCTTCCAGATTCGGTCTGTGCGAGGGCACAGCCTTTAGTGATATGGCAGCCACACAGGGGGCCGTGTTCGTACCGAAGGGGACTATGACCATTACCCAATTTACCTGGGCTTTGGCATTTACCCTTGAAATCCAGCCAATCACAGACTACATGAACGGAATTGACAGGCAAATTAGATATTTGCTTAAAGAACGACCCAGTCAACATTACAATACGACCGATCCAAGTCTGGGTTTACTGATAAAAATTGATTACAGAAACCTATGCTGAAATATCCCGTGGCCATATTAAATGCATTTTCAGCACAATATATAACTCCTCTTGTATATCGCTTCCTATTTAATAAGTAAGGTCTACTGATAGAATATTACTATAGAAATCTCTGCTGGGATAACCCCTCTTCATTTCAAATTCATAATTTTGAAAAATATTTTGTGTGTGAGATATTGCGCATGCGCGAGCACCGTTTCAGACGTACAGTACTGGCTAAATAAAAGTACGTCATATAACTTGCTGCGAGAGAGAGGGTGGGAGACTGAGGAAAGGTGGCAGGGAAGACAGCCGAGGGGCGATGGAAGAAGGAGGCTGAGAGTGCGACAAGTGAGACAAGGGGAAGGGCGGGCGGGGATGAAGTAGTAGTTGTGCACCCTACTGGCTAGGGCACTCTCCTAATTATGATCACAGGTCTACTGATAAGAATCTATTACAGAAACTAATGCTGAGATACCCCCTGACCATATTAAATTTTTTTTTCAGCACAAAATATAACTTATCTTGTGAGATATTGCGCATGCGCTAAAACAGTAACATAGCCAGATTGTGTACTGACTGGTTTATTCAGCGAATACCTTACATAAAGGCGATGCAAGGTCTGCTTCCTATTTCCTTCTTCCATCGCCCCTCGGCTGTCTTTCCTGCCACCTTATCTCAGTCTCCCACCCTCTCTCCTACATCAAGCTATATTAAGTACTTTTATTTAGGCCGAACTGCATTTCTGAAACGGTGCTCGCGCATGTGCAATATCTCCCAAGAAAAAAAATATTTTGCCAAAATTATGAATTTAAAATGAAGAGAGGTTATCCCCGCATAGATTTCTATGATAATATTCTATTGGTAGAAGTCACTTATAAAATAGGAAGCAGACCTTGCATGTAAGGTCTCGGCCGCATAAACCAATCAGTACACAATCTGGCTACGTTACTGCTTTAGCGCGTGCGCAATATCTCACAAGAGGAGTTATATTTTGTGCTGAAAATGCATTTAATATGGTCAGGGGATATCTCAGCATAGGTTTCTGTAATAAATGCTTATCAGTACACATGTGTGTATAATTAGGAGAGCGCCCTAGCCGGCATGGTGCAAAACTACTACTTCATCCCTGGGGTCGCCCTTCCCCTGGTCTCCCACGTCGCACGCTGAGCCTCCTTCGTCTTCCACCGCCTCTAGGCTGTCTTCCCTACCACCTTCCCTTAGTCTCCCCCCTCTCTCCCGCAGCAAGCTATATTGCGTACTTTTACTTAGGCCGTACTGCACGTCTGAAACGGTGCTGGCGCATGCGCAATATCTCCCAAGAAAAAAAATAGTTTGCCAAAATTATGAATTTAAAATGAAGAGTGGTTATCCCAGCATAGATTTCTATGATAATATTCCATCAGTAGACCTCACTTATGAAATAGGAAGCAGACCTTGCATGTATTGTACTGCGAACGTGAGAAGACTTCGGGTTCTTGTAGAATCGACAGCGTAGAAGGTAGCAGCGTAGTCGTGTGATAACCAGTAGAGAGATGATCGGTCGTAGCAGGTTAATTTGTTATTGAAGTAGGACTTTATTAGTAACTACGATCACATACAACATATATACATACATACGGCAACCTAACTAGGTCCCGTCATTTCTGTTTCCGTTGCTACATCTTGGGTAGGTATAACTCCTCCTGGGTAGGTCCTTCGTAACTCGGTGCCTGACTTCCGTCTCCCCGAGCGTCTATTTATAGGCGTTTTAAAAACGAACGGACGCCCCACAATCCAAACCAGTTCCAATACAACACATGTAAGGTCTCGGCTGCATAAACCAATCAGTACACAATCTGGCTACGTTACTGCTTTAGCGCATGCACACTATCTCACAAGAGGAGTTATATTTTGTGCTGAAAATGCATTTAATATGGTCAGGGGATATCTCAGCATAGGTTTCTGTAATAAATTCTTATCAGTAGACCTGTGTGTATAACTAGGAGAGCGCCCTAGCCGTTAATGTGCAAAACCTACTACTTCATCCCCGCTCGTCCTTCCCCTTGTCTCCCTTGTCGCACGCTCAGCCTTCTTATTTTTTCTTTGCCCCTCTGCTCTCTTCCCTGCTACCTTGCCTCAGTCTCCCACCCCTCTCTCCTACATCAAGCTATATTATACGTACTTTTATTTAGGCCGTACTGCACGTCTGAAATGGTGCTCGCGCATGCGCAATATCTTCCAAAAAGAAGAATATTTTGCCAAAATGAAGAGGAGTTATCGCAGCATAGATTTCTATAATAATATTCCATTAGTAGACCTCACTTATAAAATAGGAAGCAGACCTTGCATGTATAAGGTCTCGGCTGCATAAACCAATCAGTACACAATCTGGCTACGTTATTGCTTTATCGCATGCGCAATATCTCACGAGAGGAGTTATATTTTTTGCTAAAAATGCATTTAATATAGTCAGAGAGCATCTCAGCATAGCCTTCTGTAATAAATTCTTATCAGTACACCTGTGTGTATAATTAGAAGAGCTCCCTTACTAGTAGGGTGCAAAACTACTACTTCATCCCTGTTCGCCCTTCCCCTTGTCTCATTTGTCGCGCGCACGCTCAGCCTCCTTCTTCTTCCATCGCCCCTCGTTTGTCTTCCCTGCCACCTTCCCTCAGTCTCCCACCCCTTTATCCTACATTAAGCTATAATACGTACTTTTATTTAGGCCGTACTGTACGTCTAAAACAGTGCTCGCGCATGCGCAATATCTCCGAAAAAGACGAATATTTTGCCAAAATTATGAATTTAAAATGAAGTGCCGGCCCGGTGCTTGCGCGTGCGTAATATCTTCCAATAAGAAGAATATTTTGCCAAAATTATAAATTTAAAATGAAGAGGGGTTAACCCAGCATAGATTTCTATGATAATATTTCATCAGTAGACCTCACTTATAAAATAGCAAGCATGCAGTACCCAATCTGGCCACGTTACTACTTTAGCGCATGCGAAATATCTCACCAGAGGAGTTACATTTTGATTTATGTGCCGAAAATGCATTTAATAATGGTCAGGTGGTATCTCAGCATAGGTTTCTGTAATAAATTATTATCAGTAGATCTGTGCAGGGGCGTACCTGATGTGAATAGCGCCTACGGCGAGCACTGAAATTGCCATATTTGTCATTATCTACCCCTGATATTACCTCTGTAGCCGGCACTTGGAGCGTTTCAATAAAATATAATGCTAAATATATACGAAATCTATTTACCACCAAAGTCTTAATGTTTCTCTTAATATATAGTGTGTGTTTATTATATATATATATATTTATGTGTCAGTGTGCAGCAGCTAGCGTGCGGCAGCCAGCGTGTTGCAGATTAGCCCGATTAGACCAGGCTGTGCGACGGATTGTCTATACGTATTGTAACCCTAGCAATACCGTTTCTTGGAGCTAGTTGCAGATGAGCATTTGGACGGCATTTACAGGAAATTGTTGGCAATAATAGGTGAAAGAGAGGAGAAACATTAAGACTGGTAGTAAATAGATTTTGTATTTATTTAGCATTATATTTTATTGAAACGCTCGAAGTGTCTGTGGGCTAGCTAGGTGACCGATCGTTTAGCGGTTGTAATATGAGAAAATAGAGCATCCGAACTTGCTTGTGACCCTCAATGCGAAAGCGATAAACATACAAACTAAACTTCAACCGTAGCAAATAATTTGTAGAAAATACTCTTCAACACAGTTTTATAGGCGGTATCGACAGGATATATCGACGATGTCTGAGATATCCAAGTTAGATGCTGTCCTCTCTAGCCTACCCGATGACATGGAGAAGTCTGGTAAGGATATAATTGTTCACACTTTCAACTTTGCTTAGTTTAGTACGGTGCAAATCCACTTTAGGCACCTTAGCCTTAGGTGTCACGAAGTGATGCACAGATTTCTGTGTATCATCAACTGATGCACAGACTTTTCGTATATCAAGGTATGATGCAGAAACCCTAACCCTAGCCATAACCCTAACACACTTCGTGATACATAAGCCTAAGGTTATACTTCATGACTTAGAGTTAGGGTTAGGGTTAGGGTTTTTGCATCATTCCTTGATATACGGAAAGTCTGTGCATCAGTTGATGATACACAGAAATCTGTGCATCACCTAAGGTGCCTAAAGTGGATTCGCGCCGTTTAGTACTAGTAGGCCTATACCAGGGTTCTCCCTACGTTGCGCAAACGGGGCGCGCGCGCCCCGATTGGGAAAACCCTCCCCCCTGTTTCAATCGTTGCGCCCCGTTTAAATTACCTCCGCCCCGATTAACTTCCACCACAATAAAAGTTTGCCAGCGAGGGAATCGATAGTCAAGAATTCCCATTCGACCAGGACACCTTGCGCGTGTATTTTTACCGTGCCACGCATGCACTGGAGACAATACGCAAGTACAAACAGTCAACCTGTCCCACACCCACAACGACTTGGCTATCTTATATATATACAAGAACCCCAAATACCGTCTATGGTGTGGTGACGATTTTACGCATTAATTAGTGGTACGGTAAAAAAACAATCCCCCGGACCCCCCTAGTTCTCCTCTCCCCCTCCCCCTTCCCCTCCCCTCCCCTCCCCCCTGTTTGAATATCATCCTGGGGAGAACCCTGTATACCTAGCTCTACGTAACTATAGGGCCCGCGTACAGTTGCCGCAGGCTATAGAATCAAGCTTTGATATGGCAACTGCGTATCGAGTTTTTTTTCTCAGACTTCTTAGCTGCTGTAATAACTCTCGGTAATGCCAAATAAAAAGCACATTATCTGCGACAAATGTCTTAAAGTTACTATGAACACTAAAATAGCAAACAGGCAGAACTATCGCTTAAATATTGTAGGGTTTTTTTTTTGTCATTGCGATATTATCTCGTTGACGAGAAGATTGTTTTATTGCACTTGTAACCGCCATTTCCGTTGCGTCACGCGTCGCGCGGTCCGGGTGGCTAAGTGAGCGCGGGCAAGCAATGTATTTTCGCAAGTGGAGGAGTGGGGCAGCCATTTTTCGTTGCGGGCAGCGGCTAGCGGCGGTTGCCAGCAGCGTGCAACCTGCCGCACCCCTCCACTTGGAAATACATTGTGTAAATACACAATA